AACAAATAGTTTACGTACTGTTCACTGGAAAGAAAAGAAAAAACAGTACGCACATACATAGAAAAGACAATAAAATAATACATCATAGAAATCGATGATCTGTTTTCTAAAAAACTACAGCACAAATATAAATATATATAGTTAAACTAAGATCTATAATAATAATATAAAATATCCAATCATTAACTACATTTTAAAAGTAAAATAAATGTATTTCTTTGGGTCATATGCTGCTAGCGACTACCTATTGGTCACACAATACAATTAGATTTTTAAACCATATGATTGGCAACATTTAGCTTATATTAGTAAATACAACACCAAACACATTTTCTAATAGATCTAAAATTATATCTATATTTTAAAAATAGATAACTAAAGACTAGAATCCGTTGGAATATGTCTCACAAAAAAAATCTCTGCCTCTCGTCCTGCTATACATATACTTCCTCTGATCTCTCGTCTTATATTTTTTATCTAACAACCTAATATTAAAAAAAATAGCTAAATGGCTTATAATTTCTAAAATTATATTTGATTTTTTTCATTTATTTTAACTATTGTTTTATTTAAAATTAATTGAATAATTCAATATCCATTATAGTTGTATTTTACTATATAAAAATTAAAATACTCCTTTGCATGGAAACTGAATGAAAATAAAAAATTATAATAGAATGAAAACATGTATTATTCACATTAAATCAGTCTACGTAATAAAAACCAATTAAACACCTTTAGAGCACACTTAAGTCACCACATGTCACATTTTAAAATTATAAAATATTTCAATTAAATTCATGGACCCATTATTTTCAACCATTAAATTAAATTTACGAAAAATCTTACGCCGCCACATGTGTTGTCCTGAAAATCATAAATAATCTTAGAAATTTTGAGAAAAAAATTAAACCTGTTATCATTGGTTTTAAGTTACATTATTTGGATAAGTTATAAAAATAAATCGCATCTACCTCCTCGCCCCCTTCACATGCGTGAAGACCACTATTAATCACATCCCTATTTTTGGGTAGGAGTAAGCTAAAAGAGAAATAATTAATATATTAAAACAACCATATTTTTTAAGCTACGTCTGATTTCTAATATAATTGTTGCTCTGTTTATAATTAAACTAGGAATTTAAGATTCGTATATTTATATTTTCCTATGTACAAAATATGACATTCAACCACATTCATCTCGCGTGCTTTGCATACTATCCAAATATGATTGAAATACCTTAAACAAATTTGTTGCACATATTACATCACTATACATCATTCTGTAAACATATATAGCTAAATTAAATCAATAGTTATCCAAACAAAAATTTCAAAGTGAACTATGAAACATTTTTTTATTAAGGAAGAACATCCTTGCCCTTTTACATGTCATTTGAATTGCTGTAAAAGAATTACGAAATAATCCAATACAGGTTGCATCATCATATGTTGTTTGTCAAACATGCATAGCTAAATTAGATATACACTATCTAAGCAAATAAGACTAACTAAAATATGAAGTCCAAACCACCAATGCATCGAAAATCCAATGGCTTTAGTTAGAGAATATATGATTACTTCATTATTTTTTTAAAAAATGTGCTAATATTATCCAAGCAAGCTAAATAATCTTTCGTGTATCTGCTCTAAACTATGTTACCATCTAATTGACTTTAGATGGTGCTTAATGCACTTTTAGTATATCATTGATATATGTTCAAGCGTGTTGTTCTGGCCTTCTAAGCATTTCGGGTAATTCCGTTTACTTTCTTTGTGCATAGACCATTCAAAAGGTGAATCATCCCTATATATGAACATTAATTGTCTGCAAATATATTTTTGTTGTATATATATCCTTTAATGATTAACTTTGGAGTCCATTTAGATTTTTCGATATAACAAGACATAGAAATAAGAGTAACTAAGCTTGACCAAAAAAGTGATCACAACTACGATGAATCACAAGACAACCTTCATAGGTGCAATGACCACATATCAACACGGTGACTAGGAGCTGCATGAAAATCATATGGCAGGGGAAAAGGAACGATGAATTTAGCTGTCTTACGTTTTCACCATCAGGGCCAAAAGCATTCATCAAAAAAAGAAAAAAAAACACCTTGCTTTTAATTTAATAAACATGTTTTCTAAACAAACTAGGTCTAGCTCCTTTTTAGATGATGATGAAGATTATAGATAATTGCTTATACAGATTAATTAAATACTATATAATATATAGCATAGAGAAATTATCAACGTGATGTCAACGAAAAATATTTGCTGAGGAAATGTACTTCCAAAACATGGCAGAGGCTATCTGATAAATATAATCCGTTTTCAAATGCAGCACACGATACATGCCTGCGCGAATGCGCGGGCTACCTTCCTAGTTATTAAAAAATATTAAAAGTTACTTAGGAATTTTCACAGCAAAGCGCGGGGAATCACCTAGTTATTTATAGGGTTCTTACGGGAGGGAGAGAGACGGCTGATGGAGGTGGAAGACGATGCTACAGTATCATGGGCCAGCTGAGCTTCGCAAAGGGTTTCCTCTTCCGATTGAAATCGGTTTCTTATGTTGAGGGCATCATTTCTCTTAAATTTTCCAGCTCAATCGAGCCTTCAATCACCCATAATCGACAATTTTACTCCCTCCTCCCCTTCACGGTGTAGCTCGGTAACCGGACATTGAATGGGATACAGACAATGGACGGACGAACCAAAAAATATAGTTGGAAACATTTTTTATTTTTGAAATAGGTAAAGATAAAGATATAAATTAGTAGTTTCTTTAACTCTAAAATATCTACATATAAAGTCTGTATGTTAAAATTTTTATATCTAAAAGTTTTCCACCATTAAAATGTCTATACCTATTTATGTAAGATGATTTTCGTGTATAAAGTTTAGCTGGGCCGAATGAAGAAAACATAGAGAACGTAGGAGTGGAGTAAGTCTATTTTGCCTCCACCAATTCTTGCAACTAAATAAATCACTTTTTTCAATCGCAATACCAGGTATAGCGCCTTCTTCATATTTGAAAACCAGAGTAAATCGGGTCTCGAGACTGTTTGAATAGTGGTTTCATCCTACTGGACACTCATGGAACCCCACGTATCAGTGAGAACAACTTTTAAAAAAATAAAACCTCACATGTCAGCCATCCTAATCTTATTTGTTTTTCTTTTTCCTCATCTCTCTCTCTCGACCTCCAGGCTCCAGCGGTGACTTGCCCGCTCGTCTAGCCGTTCCCTTCCTCAGTTGGCATTAGCAACTTAGTTGCTCGGCCGCCATCACCGCCCTTTCCCTATGCCGGAGCAGGCTCCCTACGAAGGCCACGATAGCGCCCGGGGCAAGGAGGGACGAGCGTGCGGACGGCCTCCTCCAGCTCGTTGACCTCGCCGTCCTGGTCACCGACGCCGCCCAAGACACTGCATGCGCCCGCTGGATTTGTGCATGACGAGGGTGTGGGAGGCAAATCCGGTGGTATCGCGATCCGGCGGCACACGTCCCGTGCTCCTGCGCCGCTAGGAGTGCCTCGAGCAAGAAGGAGGAGTGCCCTCGATAAGAGAAGGCCTACGAGAAGGTGTCGACGCCGGCGAGAGGTGGCAAGAAGAGTACTGCTCACGCGGTCACACCATCGATCCTTGCGATGCAATTCCGCTGTCATCAGTCACTCACCTCTCGTCTCGCCAGCAATGTCGCGCTCCAAGCGGAAACTGTTTTAAACACTCGGATGAACGTCCACCAGTTTCTTGCATGTTATCTAAATGGTTATGAATTTTTTTAAAAAAAATTGACATGATAGATTAATATGTAATATATCACGTCACAAACATACAATTTCAAATTCGACTTCTATAAGTTGTAACAAAAATAACAAATTTAACTGTAAAACTTGTTAGAGTTTGATTTGTTATTTTTGTTACAACTTGTAGAAGTTGAATTTGAACTTGCATGTATGTGAAGTGATATATTACATATTAACCTATATTGTAAATTCTTTTGGAATTTTTTCATAATCATCTAAGTGGCATGCAAGAAACGGGTGGACATCCACCCGAGAGATTAGAATCCATCCTCCGCTCCAAGCCCACGCTGCATGCCTGCACCACCTCAGCCACACACTCATCATTACGTACCATCATCGCCTATAAGATTGGTCGCCGCGCCACTGGCATCGCGATCATCATCGCGGCTGCACCGGCCATCCCTAGCATCACACCCGCGCAATCCAGAGCGCAGGAGGCAGCAGCAGCAACCGCCGCGCCCTGCATCGCCGACCTGCCAGTCGTCGCCAAGGCCTTCCTGGACGTGTCCATCGGCGGCGAGTCGGCAGCAGGGCAAATCACCATCGATCGACCTCTTCGGCGACGAGGTCCCTGCCGGTGCGTCCCGGTTCCTGTTGCTCGTCACGGGTGTCGGCTAGTCAAAGATCGTGCGGGGCTACATGCAAGCAGGACGGCGTGGGGTGTCATACCCGGTCATTCTGGCCGTGACCGACATGTGGAGCTATTGTTTTTTTTTTAAAAAAAATTTTCACACAGATATGTGGTGCTACAAGCGGACGAAACCATTATTTAAACAGCCGAGAGAATCGATTTGCATTATCCGTACTTAATATTGTGGTTGAGGGAGGTGATTTAATCGGGGGTAAGAGTTGAGGGAGGTAAAAATATACTCCACCTATCCCATTTTAAGTGTAAAGTTTTCGTTTCCAATTTTGCTCGTCCATCTTATTTGAAAAAATTTTATAATTAGTATTATTATTATTATAAGACGATAAAACATAAATAATACTTTATAAGTGACTTATATTTTTGAATTTTTTTAAAATATTTTTTAAATAAGGCGGACAGTCAAAGTTATACCTGAAAAATCATAACTGCGCTTAAAATGAGAGAGGGAGGGAGTACTTATTACTACAAACGTGGGCTGATTTCGAACTCCAACAACTGTCCTAGTGACAGTGAAAAGCAGATGCAGAGAGTATTTTGGTCACCGTTCTTGGTATTTCGGCTTCGACGGCGGCACCTTCGGCGGCTGCACACCGTCAGATTTAAGGATCTCGACGACATCCCTAATCTTGGGCCGTTGCTTGGGGTCAGGGTGGCTGCAGGCAAGTCCGACGAGGAGCATCTTCTTGGCCTCGACCGCATCTCTCCTCCGGCCACCGCCGCAGCCGCCATCGTCGCCGGCAGCGATGCCAAGGGTCGCATCAGCCGCCTCGAGGATGCGGCCTGCCTCGTGCAGCGCCCAGACCCACTCGACCAGGGACCTGAAACGACGACGATCACCGTCGCCGCCGCCGGAGTCGTCGAGGTCGGACCGGCGGCCGGAGACGACCTCGAGGACCACCGCGCCGAAGCAGAGGACGTCCGTTTCGCTGCTCATCCTGACGATGTCGCCCGTCGGGGCGGGGCTGGTGCAGCGGCGCCGGAAGCGGCGGGACCAGGAGTAGCCGAAGTCGCCGAGGCGCGCGGTGAAGTCGTTGTCGATGAGGATGTTGGAGGCCGTGACGCAGCCGTGGACGGCGCCGTGGCTGTGGAAGTGGTGCAGGCCCCGGGCGGCGCCGGCGATGATCTTGGAGCGGCGATCCCAGCTCAGGATCGCCGCCGAGCTCCCTGCACCGGCGAACAGGTGCTGGGATAGGCTGCCGTGGGGCATGTAGTCGTACACCAGGTGGAGTTTCCGATATCTCACGCAAAACCCTGGAATGGGATGATTTAGAAGGGAAACTCTATTCATCCTCTGATAGGATATTCCTCGTTTTTCATGTCACTCGAAGGATTACTAAAGAATTTTAAAAGTTTTTCATGTCACTCGAAAGATTGCTAAAGGATTTTAAAATATCTAGTAAAATATGTAATACGTCACTCTACAAACATATATGTTCAAATCGTATTCAAATTTGTTATTTTTTCTAATTAAATATGTCGAATTTGTATATAGATATTTGTGGGATGATTTATCACATATTAATCTATCTTGCTAAATTTTATAAATTTTGTTGACAACTATTTAAATGTTATGCACAAAATGAGAGGACGAGAAAAAAAATCCATCTCCGAGTTACAACACTAGCGGTCTACAAAATATAAATACAATACAGAGTATACAATTAATAAATTTGAAACTGAAATATAATGTAGATCGATTGAGTATGAACATCAACATATGGATGCACGATTACCATAACCATGGAGGCGGACGACGTTCCTGTCCTGGAGAAAGCGGCGAGCCCTGAGGTCCCGGCAGACGAGCCTCATCTTCTCCTCGGAGAGGATGTCGTGGAACCTCTTGACGGCCACGTCGACGGCGACGCCGTCGTGCCCCAGGAGCGTCCCCCTGAACACCGCCCCGGTCTGGCCCTGCCCCAGCCTCCTCCTCGCGCCGTCGTACCTCCCCGTCGCCGCCGCCAGCTCGTCGCCGCTGTACTCCCACAGCGGCAGCGCCGACGACTCCACCCCGCCGCCGGTGGAGGAGGTCACCGGCGACGGCGAGGAGGGGAACGACAAGGGGGTGGCGCTGATATCGGCTGTGACGACCAGAAGTGATTCGGGGTTGCTCCGTTTCGCTCCTGCCGCCGCCCTCTCGCTGCTTTGATCGCTGCGCATCACCGGCCATGGAAAACCCATGGATGCACCCATTACGCATCGAACGAATTAAGAATTTGGAGATATATGCTCATATGCGGCGTGAAGATCAGTACGAGGCCGTGGCTTTGTAAGTGGAAACTGTACGTACGTGCCACACGCGTCACGCTGCACTAGTCACCAAGAGTTTAAGACGGAAAAGACGAAATTAAGAAGAGGAACCCACGGGAAATGGCATGGCTCCCACGGTTACATGAAGTTACTACGTACTACTGCTCGTGCGCAGCGCCGAGAAATTTCGCGGAGAAGTTTCTTCACATGCTCGGTCGTTTAAAGATGAGTTAAAAGGGGTGAGAGGTCGATCTGGCTCGACGGATCCTTCCACCTATCTGAGTTCGGTAGAGCTTTTTATAGCAAGTAGCTTGTTTTATGTGATAGTGCTTATTACTGATGGTTAAACGGTGTGTTTTGTGTAAAAACAATACTACACAACTGTTTTTCCTAGATGAGCACCTCAATTGTGGACCATAAGTGTCCGCGTCTGGAAAAATCACCCTACATTTTTGCATACAGCTTCTTAAGTAGCCCGTATGCAAAACTCTATTTTCGCAGACAGACCTCTTAAGGAGCCGTATGTGAATATAGGGATATTTTCCAAACGGGCCTCTTAAGCGGTCGCATGAAAAAAATTATTTTCGCAGACGGACCTCTTAAAGATCTATCCGGAAGTCTTAGTTACCTCTTTTTTTCCTCTTAGCACTTCAATTTTTTTTCAAGTCATCCTTGCCTACTCTCTCCCCTCTTCTCCTCGTACACATCTCTCTCCCTCAAACTCCTCTCTCACTCGATTCCCCTCCCAACAGAGAACTTTCTGCGGAAGTGGGCGGCGCCGCGCGTATCTGGCGGCGACATCCGTCCACCGCCCGAATCTAGTGGCGGCAGCCATCTCCCTCCCGGATCTTCGCAAATTCGGCAGCGGTGGTGGGAAAAAGCATGGCGGCGGCGGCGGGCGCGCAGGCGCGCGGAGGCATCCATCCACGCCCAAATCTGGCGGCGGTGGCACAAGCAGCAGCGAGCGGGCAGCAGGTGCGCCTCGGCGGGTGTTTTGATTTTCTACGATTTTTTTCAGATTTTTGTTTTTGCGTGCATATCCAGAAAAATTATTTCTGTACTAGTGAAAATTTCTATATAAAAGTTATCTATCTATCTATCTATCTATCTTCTATCTATTATATACTAAAAGTCCATGAAACTTCCTACAAACACTCTCAAGCCGCCACGTGGGACTCCTATAAACTTATGTCGCCACGTGGCACTTTAATTAAGGTGGACCAGTTAATTAAATTCATTAGATCTATTCTATTACATGTTTAATAAAGAACAAAATCGGCCAATATACTTCCCTATAAGCTACGGTGCATGTATAAAAAGTGACAAAATGTACGTTCCCGTGTCAAAAAAAAATAACGTACTTTACGTTCCCTTCCTTCTAATTAATACGTACATGCACATGTACGTATATATACTGCCTACCCCTCCGACTCTCCCATCCCATGTCCTTCTCTATTTTCTACCTAACAACTAAATATATAAAAACATATTCCTTCAAAAATATATATATAAACATTAATTAAATAGATAATATATCTTATTTCTAGCTAATATATAAAAACATAAATTATTATTCTTAATTAAGTCTAATTTAAGAACTATATTTTAAGAAACAAATGACACATACTGTAACACTTTGCATGCTATAAACAGTCGTGAAATATTTTTTGAACAATTTAATATATAGATTATGCTATCATGTACTTCATCTGTTTAAAAATATAAGCATATCTAGAATAGTGTTAAGTCAAATATGTTTAACTCTGACTATTAATAACGAAAAATTAAAAAGATCAATAACATACAAATGATACTAAACACAATGTAACTTCTTTTATCTAAACAACATCTTTCTATAAATATTAGTATTATAAAAACTGTCCCAAAATCGAAAAGTACTTATATTTTATTTTAGTACAGAGCAAGGATTGATCTATAAACAAGCAGTGATGACAAGGAATAATTTTGAATAAATTGCACTACCTTTAGTTTTTATGACGCTGTTGTATTTTTTACGCAAATTTGACCATGTAGTTATACTAAAATAATAATTATTATTATTTATTTTGTTATAACTTGGTTTATCATTAAAGGTAATTTGAGCATGACATATTGTATAAAATATTAAATAAGAGATAAGTAAAAAAACACACCCTAAAATACATGCCTGCGCATTCGCGCGGGCTACCTCCCTAGTTTTAAAAAAGTAAATGAATTGATTTTTTAATTTATAGTAGTTTCTCCCTTCGAAATGATAATACTTGTCGTTTTAAATAAGAACATGATCTAAAAATATAACTTTAACCTCTCTTTTTATTATATATATCAAATATCAATAAATATATGATTTTATTAAAGTAATTTTGAAGATTAATCTATAGTGTCTCCATCTTTCTAGATAAATATTTATCTTAGAAAGTTTTAAAAGTTTTACAATAACTTATCCAAAACGATAGGTATCTTAGAGTAATATTTAATTAATTATACACTAATTACATGTATCATTTGTCTGCGGCTGATTAGCCATGCTATAAAGCTCAAATGAACTGTGTCCTAGTTGGTTTTATCTGTCCTTCACGCATGAGACCCGGCATGCTCTCGGCGAATAGTTTTGACAATCCTCTGCACGCATTGCTCCTCTTCCAAACACTACTACGGAATCATATCAGTTTTTACAAACGGACGAAAAAGATTTTCGCATGCGATTGGGCCAACAGCATGCGTGAAAAGGTTTGCAAAAATCGCAATCTTTGCATGCGGCTAGGGTGACAGCATGGGAAAATCCAATTTTTGCATGCGGTCCCTTATGTCGTCCGCTTGCAAAAAGAAAAAGAAATTAAAAATCCCGAAACCCTAGCTTACCACCACCGACACCATCCTCATTGTCGCCTTCGACGTCGCTCGAAGCCTCCACAGCCATCCTCGTCTTCGTTGTCGCCATCACCATCTTTCGCAGTTGCTGCCACCAAAGCCACCCCTCCCATCGTCGTTGTCGAAGCTGTAGCCGCCACCAGAGATCCCCGCTGCCGTGCCGCTCCAGCCTGATGCCGTTGCCGCTCCCGGCCACGACCGGCCCCTCCCGAGCGTGCCGCCACTGGATCTAGGGGGGGAGGGCGCCGGCCGTTGAGCCCGCCGCTGCCGTGCCGCTCCCGCCACGCCGCCGTGGCCACTCCCGAGCGTGCCGTCTCTGGATCTAGGGGGGAGGGCGCCGGCCGTCGAGCCCACCGCTGCCACGTCGCTCCCGCTGCGCCGCTGTGGCCGCTCCCGGCATCGACCGGCCCCTCCCGAGCACGCAGCGCCACTCCCGCCCTCACTGTCACCAGTGAGAGAGAGAGGAGAGGAGGAGAAGATAAGGTTGGTGAAAATTTTGAAGTGGGGAAGAGAGAGAGGAGGCAAATCAGACTTCTAAGCAAAACATAATTTCAAATCGAATTTTATGATACTAAATAAACTCATGTGAAAAAGTTGTCAAAAACAAAGTTGTAGAACTCATTGAGATCTACCAATTTTATTTTGGTTATTTCTCCATTCGAGTTTGATTGAACTATATAAAATTTAAATTTTAAAATATGACAACTTCAAACAATATTTTCAAATACTAAATAATTTCAACTGCAAAAGTCATCAACAACAAAGTTGTATAACTTATCAAGATCTATAACTTTTATTTTGATCATTTCTTCATTTGACAAAATGATAGTAACATTGTTCACGAAATTTACATCTCTCTCATATGGTTTTAAGAGAGATGTACATTTCGTGAACAATGTTACTATTACTTTGTCAAATAAAAAAATAATTAAAATAAAAGTTGTATGTCTTGATAAGTTCTACAACTTTTTATATTCATGACTTTTTCAGCTGAAATTTATTACTGCTTCAAAATGTTATTTGAAGTTTTGAAATTTAAATTTTTAATTGATAAAACAAAGTCACAAGAAAAAATGACCAAAATAATAGCAGTAAGAACATAATAACATGATAGAGCATAATTTTAGAAACATTTAGGAAAAAGAACCATCCAATTTAGAGTTCATATGAGTGAGATAAACTAGTTTCAAATTTTCAAATTTTATTTTTGCATACGGCTCCTTAAGACGCTCGTATGGAAAAATCGATTTTTACATACGGGCGTCTTAATGAGCCATATGCGAAAATGCTTCTCGATTTTTACAAACACGGCTAGTTATGGTCCGTTTGTAAAAATCATAAGGTCTCGTATACAAAAATCGTTTGTGTAGTAGTGAAACTTTCACCCGTGGCCTAACACTTTCAACACCGATTGCAAATCTTTTGATTCAAAATATGGAACTTTATGCTTTTAACCAGAACTTTCAACTTAACTGCAAAACACTCGATTCAACAATGAAACTTTCAACTAAAAGTCTAAAACCACAACAATCTTATACCCGAATTCTCAAATTTCTAAAACCACAACAATCTTATACCCATCATATATTAGGCTATTTTCAGTACAAGAAACTCATATTTAATCGATCACCATCTAGCTTATTATATTACTGCATGAAAATCCCCTAAACTATATCAATTCTCGACTTAGTCTCTGAAAGGTGAATGTTAGCTTAATAAACACCAACTTTGCAACTTTACTATAATTAAATCAAAATTGCATTTCAAGTGCATGTTGGCTGCAATGCTAACAAAAAATGTACTCTAAACAGCTGTAGGCTCGACCTATATTAATTCACAAATAAACAATATGAAATGATAACTTCAAAAGGGATAATCAACATTATATTTAATCTGCAGTGAACAGTATTACATAGCCTACTTTACTAAGTCATCACAAATAATCCACAAGCCTTTTAGCTCACACCACTTTGTCAAACCTGTAGACCACACAACCCTCTATCACCACACCTTGGCCTTACTTGGAAGTCACAAAAAAAAAAAAAAAGATCAGCTAAAGGAGAGAAGAGCCGATCAGCTGTGAGAAACCAGCCAGCACGAGAGAGAGATTATGGAAGTATTTTCAAAATAAGTGTACACATGCAATGCTGATATTTATAACCTATTAATGCTTGACTTGGAACAAGAATTTTGAATCAAAGGACAAGATGAAGACATTGCATCAGGTAAATCTCACACGCATTCAATGATAATGCTGTTGTTAAGAAACCCCTCACGTGCCAAGCCCCTAATGAAGACATCCGGCATACTTTCTGCAAACAAGTGGTGGAGCATCTTCAGATATGTAAGACCTATCGGCACAACATGCAAATTCCACAGTTGGCTAAGTTTGAGATACGTTAAGTTAACCATGGTGCCATCAATTATGTCAATTGACTTCAAGTTTTCCAGCTTCTCCAGGGAGAGTTGTTTAAGCTTCGGGAACCATTCAGCACAGAACCTCAACGCCTCCCCATCATAGGCACAGTTCAGCTCAAGGCAAACAAGGTTTGCCATTTTACACAAGGAAATGAGAGGATCTTGCACTAGATGCGAGAAGCGCATTGACAATAGCTTGAGGTTCTGAAAATGCCCAGATATGGGGAAAAGCACATTGTTGGCCAACTTGGCATCTAAGTAGAACTTCTCCAGATATTGGGGAGCTCTAAAGTTTTCCAAGTCAAGCACTTCATCGTCATCACGGCTTGAAACAGCCAGCCTAGTAAGAAATTTCAACTTTCCGATGGAACTCCAAAGATCTCTATTGTGGTTTGCCAGCACATTAGTAATACTCAAGCTTCGAAGCTGTGTCAGGTAGCTGAGATTTTGGACTAAATTCTTGCTGGCTTTTATCTCTTTGAGAGTATGCAAAGATCTGAGACCATAAACATTGCCTGAAAATGATGTGCCATATAGGTCTGTACTTACAGACAGGTGGCGGAGGCATGCGAGCAATGTAATCTCACATGGCAACTCACTCACTGATGTACGCCTGAGATGCAGCGTCTGCAAGTTTTTGAGCCTTGCCACTGATTTTGGTATTTTGTTCACTTTTGTCCGTGACAAATCAAGATAGTGTAGATTGAATAGACCAACTATGGCATTTGGGAAATCTTTCAGTAGCGAATATCTTAGGCACAGGACCCTTAATAGCCTGAAATTTGATGAAGCATTGCAGATCCATGAAATAGATACGTGCTTATCAAATAACAAAAATGAGCGCAGCTGCTGCCAAGATGCACTTGGCTGAAAGTGTTGGCCTCCTTTGTGTACAGGCACACGGCGCACTGCATCACCAAGGCTTGTTACATCTGGGTCATCGCATATGAGAGCGAACCTCTGCCTTTTTGACATCATCCAAGTAATTTCTCTCACCATGTTATGCAATTTAAACCTTCTTGGTCTTCCAAATTCATTCCTTTCAACAACCTGAATCAGTGATCGTTGAGTAAGTTCCTTCAGATAATCCTCTGCCACTTCCTCCAATGTTGTCTCTGTTCCTCGATCTTCCACAAATCCTTCAGCTATCCACATTCTGATTATCCACTTACGCCTAATTAGACGATCTTCTGGGAATAATCCACAGTACAGGAAACAATTCTTCAAATGGGTTGGAAGATCATTTAAGCTCGAGCTTAGGACATTTGAGACCCTGCTGAGCTCTGGATTATAAGTTAGCTGCCAATTTAGTTGATCATAAAATGATGCCCACTCCTTTTCCTCAATGCCCCTGTAAGATAGAAGGCTTCCAATAGCTACAATAGCAAGAGGCAAACCTTCGCACTTCTCCAAAATTTCCTCAGCACGCTTGATGAGACCTTCAGGGCATTTCGCCTCTGGCAGTTTTGAGAATGCCTTTTTGCAAAAGAGGTCCCATGATTCTATTGGTAGGAGAGTGTTGAGCGAAATAATATGTCCCTGCAACTCAACTAATTTGGCAACTTCTTTGTTTCTAGTGGTAATGATGACTTTACTTCCTTGGCTTCTCCTTGGAAATGCATCTTCAAAGCATGACCAAGAATCTCTATCCCACATGTCATCTAAAACAATAAGGTACCTTTTGTTCTCAAGGTAAGTGTGGATTGCTTGCACCATTTCTTCAAGATTAATATCAGTACGATGCCCAATCTTAAGCTTATCCATGATGCTCATAAGAAGATCTTCAATCTGGTAATTTCGTGACACTGTGATCCATGCATGACAGTCAAATTTCTTTGTGATGTCTTGCTTCCTGTATATGCTCCTTGCAAGAGTTGTTTTGCCAGATCCTCCCATTCCATGGATGGTAATGATAGAACGATCCATGCCTGAAGCATTCAGATGCTTTGTTAGTCTTTGCACGTTATCTTTTTGTCCCACCATTGCATTGTCATCATCATCACCATAATTTAAATACGATGAATTAGAAGAGTGTATCTGGCGATTAGCGGTACAACCTGAAGAGGTTCCATCATTGTCAGATATCTTGATGCCATATCTCTCTTTCATGACTGTTAGGTTCTGGACGCGGCTCTTCACTTGTCTAAGCCGGGAAGCAACACTATACCACACCTTGAGTTTTTTGGACTTATGGAGTGTTTTCCTTAGGAAACTTTCCGTGCCGTTCATCTTTCCGAGGAGAAAGGCGTATTCATCAACGATATCCTCAACTTCAAAGGTAACCATTCTTATATGCTTTAGCCAGGATTGGAAGACTTGGTTATTCGTACAATATGGATCCACTTGACTTATAAAGGCCTGCATTACATCAAATTCACACTCAACTTCTCTCATGCTATTTTCCACGTCAAACAAAAGGGTGGCTTCCTTCCCCAATTGTGAGCTGATTGCCTTCTGTGCAGCTCCTCTTAGGGTGGTTGCAATTTTTTGAAGCAATACTAGTATCAGAGCTTCTGCCATAGCACTATTCAGCTATGTGCTTTTCTGTTAGATCATACTGCCAAACCAGCCGCCCTGCAAACAATCGTATAAGTCAGGTTCTTTGTAGTTAAGTAAACAAATAAGTCCAGAAGTAAACATAGGATGACCTGTTACAATGAAATGTTTCATGGAGGGTTGTGATTTTTCACATATCACAATCTTTAACTGCTCGACAAAAACAAAATGTTCAAAGAATAGGCAAGTTTCTGAACATTAGACAGCACAAGAGGAAAAAAAAAAAAGGGTGCTTCACATACATACAAATGTACACGGTGACATGCACCCACACATATCCATTTCTCAGAGCCATCGACCAGACTTAGAACGTAGAGGCCTCTCCGGGCCATATGGATCATATACACTTGAGGTTAACATCAAAGAAACCCCCTGTCTATGATCTGCCGCTGAAACGGCCATAGGTTTCCAGCTCTCCATGTATGTCATCATATGGATCATTTTGTCAAAAGAAAATCTGTTTAGGAAGTAGGAACAGGGTCTAGGATAACAGAAGGGATCAAGTGGGGGAAAATACTGAGGTGGCAAATGCATTCTCTAAGTTGCAAACTTTTAGGGTAGCATATATCAGATTGTGCATTTAGGCCTGGTTTAGTTCCCCAAAATTTTTTTTCAAAAACATCACATCGAATTTTTGGACACATGCATGGAGCATTAAATATAGATTAAAAAAAACTAATTGCATAGTTAGGGGGGAAATCGCGAGACGAATCTTTTGAGCCTAATTAGTTCATGATTAGCCATAAGTGCTACAGTAACCCACATGTGCTAATGACGGATTAATTAGGCTCAAAAGATTCGTCTCACGGTTTTAAGGCGAGTTATGAAATAGTTTTTTTATTCGTGTCCGAAAACCCCTTCCAACATCTGATCAAACATCCGATATAACACCCAAAAGCTTTCTTTTCGCGAACTAAACAAGCCCTTAGTGGTGTTGCGTTGAAATTCTGCGTGCATGACTTCACCCACAAATTAAGGTTCAAACTTTGGTGCTCACATTTATGTAAACACGCTGTAATAGGAACTTTGTGAATTTCACAGATTTACCACTCCTTCCATCGGTTGAGTGTGTGTTAAGGGGCGAACTTATTATGGATATATGCGTGTATGCACCTTTCGTATGATTAAAAAAAAAGATCTCGTATTTAGTAGGCAAGAACTAGAGACAGAACCAGTAGATAACCTTTTTTTTTATATAGAGCTCTTAGATAGTAAATAAGCAAAAGAGTAAATTAACCTAACACTGAAAGGGTGAGAAAAGTTTGCCAGAATTCAAATAACAGGATAAAAATCTGGCAACCTGATCTGTAGTGTAAAACAGGAAACAGTATGTTATTCAACTAACATGCCCCCAGATATCTATTCTTCATCAGTAACAGAGATTCTTAAATTTGACCTTTATGTTTTCACGAATCCTAAATGCATGAAACGAGGAAACTCCTGAGGGCCAATAACTTGTCCAAATCTCGAAGGGGGCGAAGAAGAATAAAAATGACAAAATAACGAATGGATCACAGATGAAATATTTCATTTATAAGTGAGCATCATGTTTGTAAGAGAATTTTAAGATAACATGTAATTCTAATGGCTGCATACGTCTGGATGATTAGTACAAGAGAGCAACGTACCTTAGGGAGGTCACCTTTTGGGATCTCATGGAGAGCTTTGGTGGAAGATAGCCATTGCATCTGTGCATAACAATGTTGTAGTGGCTCTAGGAACTAGGTAGACCTCGCTCCACCTGAGACAAAGGCAAGTGGATGAACATTGAATTAGCAATGTTAGTGTAGAAGAAAAACCAGCTGCTGGACTAACTCAACTCAAGAAAAGAAAGTGGTTGGAAGTACTTGAAAGGGAATCTCGCCAGATCTTACCATATTTTTTAACTCCAAAGCCAAATCTCACTGCAACTATTTTAGTGTTGAAGAACTAGTTTATTTTCTTGAGTGGTCAAACTTGATTTGGGTACTAGCTAGTGTAGACTGTGTGCTCAATAGTTTCGTAACTCAGCTAGTTAGCACACAGGACTACAGGACATGCTATGCCAGTTGATAAGTTACTTAGCAATCAAGTGAAAGTAGATAGATCATAGGTTCGAGCCATGTAATTTCCTGTCATATATACTACTACCTCCATATTTTAATGTATGACGCCGTTAACTTTTTGTTCAACGTTTGACTATTCGTCTTATTCAAAAAATTTATGTAATTATCATTTATTTTATTGTGACTTGATTCGTCATCTAATGTTCTTTAAGCATGACATAAATATTTTCATATTTGCACAAAAAAAATTGAACAAAATGAATGGTCAAACGTTGGTCGAAAAGTCAACGGCGACATACGTTAAAATATGGATGGAGTACTGTGTCCGTTCAGCAGCCTATAAATAGCGCAGCTCTTGTACAAGCAAAACCAACTCCTGTCCAACCAATATATGCATCAAAATAAAGTATGTATACATATGTAAGAGTAGATTAAAGAATAGCTCCTGTCCAACCATCGTATGATCAAGTACATATATGTACATACATGATATGGAGCAGTAGCTAATTAAGGGCTATATGTGAGCTGCCTTGGAGCTATAATACCACTACTTGTTTCTTGATCGGACCCTCAACATGCATGTATATATATGAGTATGACTCCATCAGGGCTTAAAAGTGGAGGCCGACAATCCGATATGCCCACCATCAGTAAGTCCACTTCCGATAAAATAAAAATACAGTATGTATGCAGCACGCCCCTTCAAATCCAGCAACTGCAAAGAACAAACAAAAGTAAAACTGTAAAAGCTAGTAATACCCATTGGCATTGTTAAGGGCAAACTACAAACTGATTACTGATCCACAACAGGGAACCAGTGGGGAAGCCCCACATTGATTTTCATATATATAAAAAAGAAAAGGACTGTACAATACTCCCTCCGTCTCATAATATAAGTGATTTTGGGTGGATGTGACACATCCTATTACAGTCGATGTGTCACATCCACCTAAAATTCTTATATTATGGGACGGAGAGAGTACCTGATTCACTATTATGCGCGTAGCAAGTTAAATTTATTCATATGAGGCCATGAAAATCGATCTAACTCTAGATAAGCATAAAAATAATCTGCACTATTGAGACGCTCTCTCTAGACAAATCCCCAATTATCTCACCTTGTTCCCACTTCCCTATTATCCCCCAAGTTGAACGGTCGGATCATTCCGCTTTCCACCTAATCCCAGATCACTAGCCCAGCCCATGGGCATGCGAGAGGTTAGAGTCTTAGGGACCGGCCGAAAATTGGAGGTGGCCGACCGTCTTTCTCTCTTTAATTTTCTTTTTTATAATGGAAATTTTATTAATACTCAGTCAAATACAAGACGATATATTCCAAGTGAGCCACCTCTGATAGTGAACTTGAGGAGGAAGGTCGAGTTCATCATGTACCTAGACGCTTTTTGGTTGGGGCATACCCGTGTCTTGTCCTGCCTAGAAGGCTGGAAGCTTAATAATTAGCATTTATGTACTGATAATTCCACTAAAATTTGGTTAACCATTTTAGGCCATGAGGAATTTAACAACCCGCCCCCCACCCCCCCACCCCCAACAAAGCTCCATTTGATTTTTAGATTGCACCTTTTAATTGTTGAGGGCTTTAATAAGCTTTTTAACATTTTCTAGGAATAATTTAAAGAATGTATTTAGGGGTGATTTCGGGACACCACACCTTGCCTATGGATTTGGGTATAGATTCAACGAGATGTCTTAGGGTGCAGCATTTCATAGTGATGTGGTTGCAACAGTCACATTTACAATAAATTTCATATTTGTCGTGTAATCGTGTTTGTTAATGGAAATGCCTTTACCCCTTCTGAACCCTCTCATCTTTGATGAAATCCTATTAGTAGGAAACCTTATAAGATCAGGTAGTGACCATGGTTGTAGGAGATATACCACGCCTCCGCTACTTTCATTCAATTGTGGATCAGGCCATGGTTGTGGCTGGTGCTCCATTCGATCACCTTTGCAATTGGCTCAAGAAGGAGGTGGCCAATTCCATAGAAGCTTCATCACCACGCCTTTGCTACCTTGACTTAGCCGTGGATCAGGCCATGGTAAGGGCCAAGAACCTAAGGTCATCTCAGCTTTGTTCCATGGAATAATTGCTTCTCTCCAAGGTGGTACTGGTGAAGAGCTAGCTGTGTATTCTGAGCTTCGGTCCAGGCAACCATAGCAAGTCAAGTAAACAACAGAAATAGCTCGATGGCCAAACCATGGATTGTTGAAGGATGATTGCACACTGTGAACTTGGAATTCACTTCAGTGAACTCAACTAAATCCTCGGTGGTCATGTCATCATCATCATCATTGATCATTTGTTCATTGCCTTTCATCAAACACTTGGTAGCTGTCACCATGCACAACTCATTATTATCAACCAAGCTTGTCGGAGATATGGGCCCGGGGGTATGCAAAGTAAAGGGAAGTTATCTTCCCCTCCAGCCACGTGGCTCTGCAAGCTGGCCCCACTCTCACACCTCGCGAGTCGCAAAAGCGACGGGGGGGCCTCGGGGCGCGACATCACCCCCTCGGGCTCTCCCGTTGCTTCGCCCCGAGGCCCTCGCCCAACTGCCAGTGGCGGGGGGAGAGAGCGAAAAGGGGACCCAAGTTGGACAGCCATAAATACGTGGCGCCCCAACCATCCCTCACCGCATTTAATGCGGTGAGGGCAGACGTGCGGTGCCGCCTAACTGACCCTCGTCAATCGGATGTGACCAGTCTGTGACCGGCCTGTTGCCGGTCACGTCCGATTGAACGGGCGGCCATGCCCCCACGTCGCCTCTGTATCCGGCAGAGTGGGGGTAGGTATGACCCGTCCCATCGAAGCGTCACTCGAAGGAGAGCTACCACAAGTCTACACTCATTTATGAGGGAATGACAGGGCTGTCCCCCGTGTCAGGCGGGGGCCGGCGCTGGGTCCCACTCAAAGACGGGCTGCTGCTTAGCTTCCCGGCGAAGGCACGGATCGTGGCCCGGTCAGAGTAAAGTGGGGTCCCCTCCCATGGAGGGGTAGGTAGAGGCAGCGCATGTGGTATCCTCTTGAGCTATAAAAGGAGGACCTTGCCCACCGAGACAAGGGGACGACTCTTAGAAAACCCGAACTCTAGGAGAAGAAAGGCGATAGCGCTCTCCGGAGTAAAGGAACCCTTGTAATACTCATCCATAATCCCAAACACAGGAGTAGGGTGTTACGCTCCATAGTGGCCCGAACCTGTATAACTCGATTGTGTACAAGCTAGCCAGCAGTCTTAGGGACGGATACGTGATTTCTAAGAGGCGAGCCTCTGCCCCCGGCCGAACTCACGAGAGGGGGGTCTCACGACTCCCCGCTATCGAGGGCCTTCCCTCGACAAAGCTGATTGAACTGAACTCATTACTGACCTCCAATGTGTTGAGGACTGATTTAGCGTTGGTGCTTGTAGCTACCACAACTCTAGTGATATCAACGCTCGCGGTTGACTCAACCTTGATGTCGCGGCATGTCATGAGCATGTTGGTGAGCGTGGCAATCATCTTGGCACACAACTCCTGGTGTCTCCTCTGGTTTCATTTCAACTTGAGCCATGTCACCCTCGACTTTGTCGGTCTTGATGGATGGCGGCGGTATTGCAATGGCAACTATGGTAGTTGAGGGCGTGGATGAGTTCATCGCGGCTGGGAACACATGTGATGATGCAGTAGGAGAACTCTCAATTGTTGACCTGGTGGTGGTTCTGCTTGATCCCAACGTCGAACACTTGGTAGGCGTCACGTCGGCGTTACCTCCGAACAAGGGCTGTGCATACTGAATGTCTAGCTGGCAGCACCCATCATAGATATTGTGGCCGTGGGTGGCAGAACGAGCCCTCTCCGCGTCATGGCTTGACATGAACGACACGAGAGCCTCGTCATGCCAAGCGCTCGTCGCAAGCACTTGCACTGCCACTGCTCCGTAGGCGTCATAGACCTGACATAGCACCTCGGTTGTTATTGGATAGAAGATGTGGCTCACGGTGACGTAAAAGGAAGGCACCTGAGTCGCCTCCTAGATAGCCCGACATTTCACCAAACAGGTGGTGGGCATCTCCTTCGAAGACACCACCACGAAGTTGCTGGCTGCCCCTCCCACCACCGACACTCTCCCACACTATCTCAACCCTGGAAACCCCACGAATTGACTGCTTTGATACCATATTGTCACGATCCCAGCTCATCCTCATCAATTCAACAAGCTTACACCCAAGAACACCCAATAATCCACAAGAATTAACTCAAGTAATTGGATACAAAGTAGCATAATGGAATTGGGGATCGGGGATGAGCATTGTAGATTGGGAATTAGAGAAAATAGACTGGGAATTGGAGAAACAGAAGTGGGGATTCAGAGAAGAACAGAGAACTGAAGAAGATAGAGGCCTCAGCCATTCATTCAAATCATCGATGCCTGTTCTCCACAAATTGAATCCTCAAAGAGATTCTTGGAAGGCTATATTAACTCGCTACTGGAGTTTAAGCAGTACCCCCAACCTGATCTAGCCAAAGGTAAACACGTGGTCAGCCTGTACACACCAAAATCCACCAGGGGGCGAAGCGACCAGAACAGCTACGTCGATGCGCAGTGGGTTAAACCGCAAGGGGGATGGATGAAAATCAACACGGATGGATCGTGTGACAGTAAAAATGGCAATGGGGGTGTGGGTGCTGTCGTGAGAGACAGTTCTGGGCGAGTGGTTCTTGCCCTGAGTCGTCATATAGATCGCTGCGGCAGTGCTTTGGAGGCCGAGCTCCTAGCTTGTAAAGAAGGTCTGAGTCTCGCTCTGCAGTACACTCTGTTGCCCTTAGTCCTAGAGACTGACTGCCTGGAGGCTTTGAAGCTGTTAAAGAGCAAGGAGAAGGTGATGTCGCCGGAGGTTTTTATTATCAGAGAGGCCAATTCTCTGCTTCAGGGGAATAGGGAGATTAAGTTTAGTAAAGGCCAGCGTTCGCAGAATCGAGTTAGTCACTTATTAGCTAATAAAGCTCGATGCGAGTATGTGAACGAAGTCTGGCTTGAAAACAGTTGTAATTTTATTTGTCAGCTTGTCAGTGATGACATTGGCTGAGTAATATATCCTATTTCCCCCGAAAAAAAAAATATCGATGCATGTTTTCTTGCTGGAGTGTGTACTTGTACTCTTGGATGACCTGCTCCTGGGCCAAGCCCCCTTTCTTACGGCAGCCAATATCCGGCCACTGGGATGTCCAGTACGTGACACCTGCATTCGAAGATTGAACAGAAATGGAAGGCGAGATCGGAACTGGAGGCATTGGGGTTGTCATTAGGGATTCTTCAGGCAAGGTTCTCTTGACCTCATGGCGTTACATCCGGAAGTACGCATCGGCATAAGAGTCAGAAATTATGTTCTGCTGTGAAGGCATTAGTCTTGCGACGGATGGATCCAAATGCCAGTGGTGCTTGAATCGGATTGCTCGACAACAATTGCAAGAATTTCCAGTAAAGGCCAAGACAGATCGCAATGGTCGTTTCTGATGCAGGAACTAAGGGGAAGATGGCGTGTGTCCAGGAGGTGAGTTTTAGTCATTGCCGAAGAAATTGTAATAGGGTAGCTCATGAACGGACGGCTCATTGTGCGATTTGGCGTGATCAAGCTCCGTCTTCAATTCAGCACATATTGCAACTAGATTGTAACCCTGTTATTTAATCAATAAAGCTCACCGTTCTTGTAAAAAAAATGTTTCCTTCTATCCTATCTTAACCCATTGTTTCAACCTTTATTTTAATTAAATTTATATATGTGAAATGTGTGCAGGCACTGTGTTTATTAAATAAGGTTATTTTTAGTCATTTGTCTATCATTCTAATATGTCCTTAATCCTTATAAATTCATTTTTATGGTACATAGATAATATATTTTATTTAATTGGAAAAGACAATGTTTAATGCATGGGTTAAAATTCTATGCCTGCGATAAAAATACGAAAATCCTTTGCGTCGAGTGCCTGATGGGGGGAGAAAAAATCGGGCGCCCGCGTCTTCCACGCCTCGCGCGCTGCCCCCACCACGCGCCCGACCATGTGAGTTGTTGCAATAAATCACCCGCATATTACAGAAACACTCTATTAAGAGGATCCGTTTCATTTTTTGTTCCATCAACCATGCTTCAGCTAGTGTATTCGTGATGTTTCACTATGTATGTATCAAATGTTGCAGTGGATTTTTATACTGTTTTAATAATTTCATCTTGATGGACACGTGGTTTGTCGATGTACACGGGGTTTAAGTGTTGCAATGGCTTAAAATTGTTTGTTGCATACATTGAACCAAATTGTTTCATCTAGCAATCTGACTGTGTTTCATGTTTTCTTTTTAAGAATTGAAACATTCTTTCGCTATTTGCTGAAACATTATTTTTATATAGGGTAAAACAACGCCTAATTTTGTGTAAACCGTTATTTCATACGTTGTAGCAAAATGTTTTATGAGATGATTTGGTTGTGTTTCAGCTTTTTAAAAAATTAAAACATTTTCAATCTATTTAGTGAAATATTTTCGATTTATACGGTGAAACAGCGCCTGATTTTTTTTAAAGAAAAATCGGACGCTCGTAGGCGCCTTGATAAAAATACCTTTGTCACGTAATGAACGCGGTGACAACATTTCCTTTGTTACATAAAAGATGAGAGTTTTAGAGGGAACTAAAAAGGCTCAGAAAATAAAATCTCGCAAAGGTTTAGATTTGGGAAAGGAAAATTTTCTCCATTTGATCTGTTGTGTGGACCCCACCTGTCAGTCTCACCTGGCAATCCCGACCCGAATTTCTACTAGCGGAAGAAGAAAAAAAGAAAAACAATTTCCATCCGCCGATCCCCTCCGATCTCGAATTCTCGACCTCCCTTCCTCCTTCGCCGCCGCCGCCGCCGCTCGTCGCCGGCCACCTCCACCGCCGCCATGGTAACCTCTCCCCAACTGCATCAGGAGTAGCGGACACACCCCTGCTCCGCCCTAACCAAAACCCTGACGACGAGCTTCTCTCTGTCTCTGTGTGTGTGTGGCCAGAACTACATCGTCGGAGCGTTCAAGCCGCCCTGCGACATCTCCATCGCCTTCTCCGACGCCAGGTCGCGGAAGCAGGTAAGCTCCTTCCCCGCCTTCCCCGTTCCCCTATCGCCTCCGCGCCCGCACGACCCGGGTGGATTGGGTTCTTGTAAGGATCGTTGCGAGCAGCGCCGCCCCCAATATTGGTTGGTTCACTCGTGTGTTTTGCTGTTGTGCAGATCGCGGTCAAGAATGACAATGGGAGGACGGTGATGGTGCCGGTCTTCCAGAGCCTGGAGACCATATCCGGGGAGGTACTGTTGTTTGTTCAGCTTCATCCTACCTTCTGTGATTCTTCTGGCTGGAGATGGGTGTGTTGGGGAGGATTTGTGAAATGCAGTTGATGACATGATGTGTGTGTGGTCAGGTGTCGGTAGTGCCGGTTCCGGGCAAGAGGATCGAGCACTTGGGTGTCAAGATTGAGTTACTGGGTCAGATAGGTATGCTATGCTAAATTGCGGATTTCGCAAGCCTCAAAGTGACTCTTCAATATATGTGGTGGCACTTTAGAGTATTTTTCTATTCACCTCTAAATTACTATACCTTTTTTTGTTGTTTTTGTTGTGCACAACCTTTGTGTATAATCAATTGTTTAGACAATCTGTTTAGCTGTCAATGTTGTAAGTTGTTCTGATTGTCCCAACTTCATCTAATCTTCCTTTGGGTACAATGTTGCAGAGCTTTATTTGGAGCGAGGCAAATTCTATGACTTCACTTCATTGGGTGAGTGCTGAATATATATCTGATGATTTTTATTGATCAGGGCACTTCGATAAGTTTATATGGATGGCATTGCTTTGGAATGCATGTGATTCTTTCACCTGTTTGTTTAGTATAACTCTTTTCATCCTGATACTTTCCTGGGATTGTAGAAATATTAGCTGGCATTGTTGGGTTTTTTACTTTTAATGCCTTCGATCTGCGAGAGGGAGGGAGAGAGGGAGGGAGGGAGTTTATTTGATGTTTAAAATTCTTTTTAGTAGTGGTGAGAACTATATGTATAAATGAATAAGGCTGAGAGATTAGCAGTACATATTTGTTCTGAAATTACTCAGGTATGGAAAGCTATTATGGGCATTTATCATATCATCATCACCGTTCACCCAACCGTCTTTCCCAATGGTCACTATACCTGATATTATGGCTGGTACATGCTGGTGTTGGATAAAAGCAGCTGCTAGGAGTCTGGAAACAGAACTAGAACCATCAAGCATACAGAAGAATCTTCAGAGATTTCTGTTCAGCTGTTTGTTTGTTTTTTCTTGGTTGCTGATGCTTGCTTGCAATCATGAAGCTATTTCATAACCAGGCACCTGCAAGAAGCTACCATGATCTGAGGTGTCTTCTTTGCCCATGCAGTGCGTGAGCTAGATATTCCTGGTGAAATTTACGAGAAGAAAACATATCCATTCGAGTTTTCCACTGTTGAAATGCCTTATGAATCTTACAATGGAACAAATGTCAGATTAAGGTATGCAAATGGTATGTTTTAAAGTTCCTTTATTAATTTTTAGGGAATTTTAACATTGACCAGTGCTGTGTCTCTATAAGTCAAGGACGCATGGCTCACTCTGCAGTTGTATCAGAGATGATTTCTTCTGAATGATCTGTCTGTGTAATAGTATACAACAGTGTAATATAAAGAATATCCCATTTGATCTACAATATTGACTTAACTGAAAATAATTACATATTTCTTAGACTTGTGCTGTTGTGCATGCTCATATCTACTCAATCTGAGTGGGACACAACTATATATGTTTTTGTTTTTACCCTAGTATATTTACTGTATAAGCAAATTGTGGTTCCGGTTTATATTAATCATTACAACTTTCTGGACACGCAATATGAGTTAGTAATGGGTTTGTCATTTGGTGCTGCATAAATAGCTTTAGTGAAATATCTATAAAGGTAAAACTAACACTTATGCTTTTAGATATATTTTGAAGGTTACGATCAGCCGAAACATTATGGGCATGGGCAGCATTGTGGAGTTCCGTGAGTTCTGTGTAAGTCTCGAGATGATCATGTGCCAGTGTGCCACCAGCATTGATGAAAACAATGTGTTTAGTTATTTATTACCTTTTTTAAAGACAAGCTTTAAATTTGGTAATTTCATGGATTTCATTGGATTTTATGTAGGCTTATTATTTATTATTGTGTTGTGAATTGTCACATGATTCCTGATATTCTTTTCCTGAAACTTCAGTAGTATTTTCATATTTCAAAAATAAATTCAACACATTGCATTTCTGGTGTTGTAGTATCATCTGCATAATATTTTTCTATAGGAGTTTTAATTTTTTTATATTATTTACAGGTAAGAAATTACTCTCCTGCCCCCACAATCAACAACAGTATCAAGGTGAGTTGTCATTGATGATGTAAGATGCTTTTCATTTCATACCTTTCAGATGTGTCTGTCTATGGCACGTCTTCACAAAACAATACAGCTCCTAGTATTTGTATTGTGTAATGCTAGTAGTTTACCTGGAGATCACAATTCACGCATCCATGCAAATACATTTGGTAATATTTCAGGAGCGTGTAGAGGAAGCGCACACGTGCGTGTGCATATGGTAGTGTGCGTGTGGGCTGTGTGCATCCAGTTCTGCTTTCTTAGAGAAGTTCTCAAGTAGCTTATCTGGTGGCTTCACCAATGCTTGCAGGCTTAACCTATCTGGCTTAACTAGGTTGTTCAACTTCCAGTCCAGTCCTCTGCATGGTGCAAAGTTATGCACATCCACTTTACCAGGATTGTACAGTCCTAATGTATGCCTTAAGTTTATTTTTGTTTTGGTCTTTTTGGGCAAGTGACAATTGTATTTATTCTCAGAAACAAAGTTGTCTGGCATGATATTATGAGTTTTGATAATATTTCCTAAAGTAGCGGAAAATTTAAAACACTACAACCCTCCAGGATGGACCCTGGAAATTTGTGATTTGTGCATCTCACAAATGGTGGTTCTTCCTACTTTTGATTTTTCATCAGTCAAGTATTCAACAATAGGCACCACTTTGCAAATGGTGTCTGCATTTGATGGTTAATTGACTAATTCTTATAGTTGATTCCCCTGAAATATGCTGATTAGATCGCTTCGTTAAGATCGTACCTTTTAATTGTGCTTATCAGCTGCTATTGTTTTTTCTGATATTCCTGTAGATTGTAGCTGCATAATATTTTATTCCGTTGTGGCCAACAGTATTTTTTTTCTTGACTAACATACACTGTTCGGCACTTCTATTTCTTGACTAACATGCTATTCGCCATGGTCACAGTGATGCTTTATTTAGTGTGTGTGAAAGACATGAAGACATATTTGGTTATGTAACTCTTGATCTTGCATGTTCCTTTCAGATGGAAGTTGGAATTGAGGATTGCTTACATATTGAGTTCGAATACAGCAAAAGCAAGTAAGAAGATAGGCTTAGTTGGCTGTCTGTTCTGACATGTTCCTCAATGTGGCATCCACAGCGTTTGCTTACATTGAAACATTCTTATTCTTATTCAGGTACCATCTCAAGGATGTGATTATTGGGAAGATCTACTTTCTTCTTGTCAGAATAAAGATAAAAAACATGGAACTAGAAGTACGTCGTAGGGAATCAACAGGAGCAGGCTCTAGTGCATATGTTGAGACTGAAACTCTTGCAAAGTTTGAGTTGATGGATGGTGCTCCTGTCAGAGGTACGTTTTTGTAATTTTTTTCATTTTTAATATATTTTTGAATGTACAGTTCCTTTACATGCTGATCCTTGTCTTGTTGCTTGATATTTAAAGTGACATGCTTTGGAGTTATAAATAACTTATTTGTGGACCACATGGTTGCATGCTTTTCATGAATCTTTTTTGTGGTATGATAGTTGCAACAATTTGCTGATTACCTTAAACTCAAAGCTTGGTAGTAACGTTTGCAAAACAGCAAAACACATGAATTTTAATGAATTTCAAGCCTATATGATACTCTGGTAGATCTGTAGATGCAAGTCTATTTTAGTTATTTAGTGATCCTGCAGGGGTTTCTTCTCAATTATCACGATGCACTGTGGAAGTGCACTTTCCCTGCTTGAAACAATTCCTATATACTTTAATTATGATTTAGGAAATATCAGCCCCAGTAGAGCTAAACATTCACTTGAGAACTTTCCAACTTGATCCCATGTATACTTGAAGTAGGACTGGCTGCAAGGATCCTAATTAATACTAAAGCAAATTGTGTGGTGCATAAAGTAATATCAACATTTCCTTCCGATGTTTATAGAGGTAAAAGTTATAACCGTCATATTCCGTTTCGTTCAGCACCGCCAACGTTCAAAGCTTCTCATTCTAGTGAGTAGTGATATTCGGTATTTAGCTTCTTGCATGATCTCTCTGCTTGCAAGGATATTGCTTTGCTGTGAACTTGAGGTAACTGTTTTTTTTTTTTCCAGGAGAATCCATCCCGGTGAGGCTATTCTTGACGCCTTACGAGCTGACCCCTTCGTATCGGAACATAAACAACAAGTTCAGCGTCAAGTACTACCTGAATCTGGTCCTTGTTGATGAGGAAGATAGGAGGTACTTCAAGCAGCAAGAGATCACCATGTATCGCCTTCTAGAAACCCCCCAGGCTTCCTAGATTCCAAACTGGAGCAGCAAGATGTTTTTCGATTCTCAGGTTTTGTACAAGCTAGCATCGAGGTTAGGGCAATGGCGTACTTACATGTATATAAACTCCAGAAGAGCTCGGCAGTTCACTAGTGCTGCTCTCCAAATCACATTTCTTTGTTTCTGTATCTTCTTGTCCTCTGTGTGCTTATGGTAGACCCTTTGATTCATGTGGAGTATATGTGCATTACCTCCCCCTGTTTATTTCTGTTTCTTGAAAGTAATCTGTCCGAAGACCTTATGTGTATTATCTCACAAGGATCTTTGTTAATTCACTTGATTGAAGTTTTGCAGTGATGATTGAAGTTTTGCAGTGATGCATAACATGCTTCATTAAGTAAGCCGATACCAGTTTTACAGTTTACTTGGCATGAGTGTAATATAAATAAGTCTAACTAATGTACTCTTTCCGTCCCATAATATAAGGGATTTTGACATTTTGCTGGTACTGTTTGACCACTCGTCTTATTCAAAAAATTTGTGTAAATATAAAAAACGAAAAGTTGTGCTCAAATTACATTGGATAATAAAATAAGTAAAAATAAATAAATAATAATTTTAAATTTTTTTAAATAAGACGAATGATCAAACAGTATAAGCAAAATGTTGAAATCCACGAGGGAGTAATGTAGAGAGTTTCATTCTGCCCTTAGTTGTGCGTCTCTTTCGTTTCGATTTTGGAGTTTGGAGTATACGTCTATACCATCCATATCCCCATCGTCCCCTGCCTTTGCTCTTCCTGGCTTCCTGCGGCTCCCATCCTTCTCTAATCTTGGTTTCCTTCACAATGTGCTGTACGCCTGTACATGTGCAATTTTCTTAACATTTTCTCTCTTTTTCTTCCTGTGCATGTGCATTCTGACTCAGCTATCTATGTGGGGTTGTGGGGGAGGTAAAGGTAAATCCTGATGCCCAATTTTATTGCAGGTGAAATAATCATAACAATGAAAGGTATTATGCTGTTCTGGAGCAATCGATCAAGTAATCCATTACTTTGGGGTGTTAGTGTTGTCTATTGGATCATCTAGGTTTAGATCTAGTCAGGTGGTTCTATTTGCGATGGATGATTGAACAACAGTAGAGAATAAGGGAAGGGTTTAGGGATGTGACAGGTTGACACGTTGGATGAAGAGGAAGTCCCGGCCATCGTCGTTGTCGTCGCTCTGCTTGACGCGGGCGGCGGCGGCGACGGTGGTCGTGACGGCGACGGTGCTGCGCGGCAGTGGCGGTCGTAGGGGATCCCGGCGAGGTCGTGGCGCGGCGGTGGAGTCTTCCCGTCATTGGCTGCGCCCCTCGATCGGTTAGGGTTTTTGGGGTGGAGTGGCGACGGCGACGAACCTCGTGTCATGTGCGTCCCGTCCTCCACCCCTCTTTATATGGCACAGTGTGACGGGGGGCCATCAGCCATTGGGCTGGGCGCCCCCGATCAGGGCGCGGGTCAAGGCCCCCTTGAGCCTAACGGCTCAAGGGGAGGGAGATCTATCTAACATTCTCCCCCTTGATCTCACTATTTCTTTTAGCTTTTTCTATTCCATCACAGATTTACATATAGAGCATGTTTCATCGTCACGGTTAATTACCGATGGATTCGACAGCCACTATACACATCTCTATTTAGAAACAGATACTTTAACTTTTGGGCCCTATAGTCCAGGATTCATAAGGCTTCCCTTAAACCCATGCATGCTACATGTTCCTTGAACATGTTGGGAGGTTGGCCTTTTATGAGCGGATCCACGAGCATCCTTTCTGTTCTTATGTGCTCGAGACTGATTGTTTGATCCCGGACTTTGTCTTTCACAATATAGTACTTTATGTCAATGTGTTTGGCAACACCACTTGACTGATTGTTGTGAGAGTACATTACTGCGGGTTTGCTATCGCAGTATAACTTTAGTGGTTTCTCAATACTGTCAACCACCTTTAAACCTGGGTATGAACTTCTTTAGCCAGTTCACCTGCCCCGTTGCCTCATAGCATGCTATAAACTCGGCATACATAGTAGACCCTGCAGTGATGGTCTGTTTTGAGCTTTTCCATGAAATAGCTCCTACTGCCAGGGTGAACACGTATCCCGATGTTGACTTTGTATTATCTTTTGCAGAGTCAGAATCCGAATACCCCACTATCTGGAGCGATTCTGATTTTCTGTAAGACATCATGAGGCCTTTTGTTCCTTGTAATCACGCAAGACTTTCTATACCAAATTCCAGTGCTCTAGGCCTAGATTACTTTGAAATCTGCCAAGTAACCCGGTAACAAATACCAAGTCAGGTCGTGTGCACACTTGCGTGTACTGTAGGCTTCCTACAGCTGACGCATATGGCTTTGTTTTCATTTCATTGAGCTCATACTGATTCTGGGACATTGCGATGCCCCATACTTTTCGCCTTTGACTATAGGAGCAGGTGTAGCACTGCATCTATACATGTTAAATTTCTTCAATACCTTTTTTATATATGCCTTTTGAGAAAGTCCCAATGCATACTATGTTCTATTTCGGTGAATCTCTATGCCCAAACATATGAAGCCTCACCGAGGTCTTTCATGTCAAAATTTGAGGACAAGAATTTCTTTATTTCCTGCAGTAGATTGACATCACTACTAGCCAGTAGAACGTCATCTACATACAGAATTAGGAAAATGAATCTCCCATTCTTAACTTTGAATCAATACAGTTGTCCTCGATATTCTCTTGAAAAACCCAAATTTCTTTATTGTTCCATCAAACTTCAAGTAGCACTGTCTCGAAGCTTTGCTTTAATCCATAAATGGATCTCTTTATACGGCATCCTATATTTTCGTTTCCTTTCATGACGAAACCTTTCGGTTGTGCCATGTATACTTTTTTCTTCAAATCACCATTTAGAAATTCCGTTTTTACATCCATCTGATGTAATTCCAAATCATAATGTGCCACTAGTGCCATTATAATCATGAAAGAATCTTTACAAGAGACTGGAGAAAAGTCTCATTGTAATCAATGCCTTCTCTTTGCGTGAAAACTTTTGCCACAAGTCGCGCTTTAAACTTTTCTACATTCCCTCTAGAGTCATATTTGGTTTTGTAGACCCATTTACACCCTACTGATTTGGCTCCTTTAGGAATTTCTTTTAAATCCCAGACATCATTTAATTTCATTGATTTCATTCCATCTTTCATGGCTTCCAACCATTCAGATGAGCGAGCGCTTCTCATGGCCTCTTTATATGAGGTGGGATCATCCTCCATATGCGACTCTTCTATATTATAAACATGATAGTCATCACGGATAGCCGATCTTCTGACTCTTCAAGACCTTCTAGGGGCCTCCACATTTGGCACATTATCTGTTTGAGGCTGTTGCAGCTCCTCCTCTGGTGTGGCAATAATTTCTATTGAATCCTGTAAAATGGGTTCCCCACTTTCATTCATTGTTGCCACAGGAGAGATAACAACAGGTGTTGGTACCGCAATGGCATGCATTGCTGGCACAACATTAGTAGGTAGAGAGAAGAAAGGTTCCTGAGTCGACGGAGCAGGTACAGACATCCGCCTCTCCTCAAGATCAATTTCTCGAACTACCGAGCTCCCCCTAATCATTTCGTCTTCCAAGAAGACGGTGTGTATCGTTTCTACAAACTTTGTACAACTGTTTGGACAGTAGAAACGATAACCCTTTGATCTTTCAGAATAGCCAATAAAATGGCAGCTTACTGTTTTGGGATTCAATTTCCCAAGATTTGGGTTAAATACTTTGGCCTCTGCAGGACTCCCACACACACGGAGGATCCATAGCTCATACGGTGTTTTGGGCACCAATGCATTGTATGCATTGTTCTAAAGCTGAGAACTCCAATGGAGGAAGAATTATATTCTTAACCAGTCTCTCAATTCTCCCCCTCGAAATATGGCCTAAACGTCAATGCCATAATTTCGATGAGACATCAGGAGTTCGCTTTCTTTTCTTTTGTCAACGAGGACACAACATTCACATTCTCAGAAAGAGATAACAAATAAAGCTGATCTTGCAACACAAGACCAATACATGCATTATTATACCATAGTTCACATTTGCCATTTCCAAAATGGCAATCATATCTATCAAAATCCAATTTGGATACACTTATTATTAAGTTTCTTTGCAAAGAAGGGACATAAAAACATCTGGAAGTAAAAGTGTGAAGCCATTCGTGAGTTCTAGGCGAAGATCTCCAACAGCTTCAACTTTTGCTTCAACTCCATTGGCAACTCTAATGGATCTTTCACTTCTTTGCGTAGTCCTCATTGAACGGAATCCCTTTAAACAATTACACACATGAATAGTTACTCCAGAATCAATCCACCATGTGGATCTAGAATAACCAATCATAATGAGATTCATTTACAAATGTAATAATGTTCTCACCTTTCTTTGCCATGATCACTGTCAGGAAGTCAGGACGATCTTTCTTGGAATGTCTTGTCTTCTTGCAGTGGAGACACTGATCCTGTCTCAACTGTGAACTGTTGTTTCTGAGGCAGATGTTGAGGCTGTTTTTCTTTTGAGGATGGTGACCTGTGGCTCTTTTCCTTATCTTTAACAAGGTTAAAGGAGCCACCATTGGTCTCTTTGAGTCTTTCCTCCTCTTGGACACAATTAGAGATGAGCTCTTCAATATTCCATTTTTCTGGATTTATTTTGTAGTTGACAACAAGGTTGTCAAAGTTCTTTGGCAAAGAGGACATAACCAGATGGACCAGAAAGTCATCTCAGATGCCCACATCTTTTTTGCTTCAACTTAGAAGCCATGTTGCCCATCCTAAGAATGTAGTCTTTTACACCACCTCCATGGTATCTCTCTGTCACAAGCTACTTTATCAGCTGTGTCGCATAAAACTTTGAAGAACCAGTAAACTGGCTCTTTATACTTTCGAGGTACATAGAGACGGTGTCATACTCTGGGATTGAGCCCAATTTGGTTGGCTCAATCGTGTTCTTTACCGTAGCCAAACAGTTCTTGTTGGCTAAGGACCATTTCGTATGCTCAATGTCATACGACATGATGAGGGAAGCATTGTCCCTCTCTCTCTTTTGCCATTCAGCATTTGACTCATTTTCACCTCTGAAAAGTTCAGCAGGTTCCATAGGACATGGGGTAGTCAACACCCAGTCCACCTGTCCCAAGATAAAAGCAAGGTCGAGTTCTCTTTTCCATTCTTCGTAGTTATCTCCTTTCAGGGTCGGAATATCTTTAATGTAACCCATCAAGGAGTAGCCACCTAAGATAATCATGTATTGTGAGAACAAAATTAACATTAAAATTATTATGTATTAAGTCTACATCACCGTTGGGCAGAAAATAGACATAACACATAGAGCCATAACTATAACATTGCAATTATCAACGTTGGTCAGAAAATTACAACATCATAGCACATAATTAATGTTCCTAAAATCAAATTCTCCCGTTGGTTCGAAATTTAATTTTAGAAACACTAATTTTCATCAATTTCATCTATTTGCAGTGGAAGATCTATATACAATTCATATAAACAATAACAAAACTCTGTTGTTTACTCTCTGTAAAAATTCGCCCGTTGGTTCAAATTTAAACAGAGGTAAAACTTGAAAAACAATTCAAAATTCTATTGTAATTTGCATGAAAATATACAAAATACCTGTTCAGAAACATTTCTCACATTTATCTATTCTCTAAACAATTTTCACGTTGGTTCAAATTGCTTAGAAATAAACACAATCATTAAACATATTGAAAATGCTTCCTTCGGCCGAGGGACTTTTATTAAACTTCTTTTTCTTCTTTTCCTTCTTTCTTTCGGCCGAGGGACCTAAAGTGGACTTTTGGCCGGTCTGGCCCGTCCGGCCCGCGGCCACCAGCCGACCGTCACCATCCGGCCATCCATTTGCTAGGGTTAGGATCGGACGGTCAGCCGCCGAGTTCGGGGAAACAAAAACCCTTCCTCCCAACCGGCCAAACCCTAGCCGCACATTTCACTTCTCCTCTCTCCCTCCTCTCTCTACACCGGAGCGGCGGCGCCATCGGCGGCGGCCGGAGGAGGTGGCGGCGCCGTCGCGGGGCCCCTCGCCGGCGCGCGTGCTCACCCTAGGCAGAGCGCGCCGCCGTCGAGCGGCCTTGTGACGGTGTGGTCGGCGCCCTCTCGTCTCCCCCCGGCTTCGGCGACGGCCGGCGACGGCGGTGGATGGGGAAACACGGCGGCGCCATCTTTTCTTTTCTCTTCTCTTCTCCCCCCACCGTCTCTAGCCCCCACCGCGAAGTGAGAGAAAGAGGGCGGCGGCCGAAGGAGATGGCGGCGCCGCCGCGGCCCCCCTCGCCGGCACGCGCGTGCACCCGCGGGTGCGCGCACGGCCGTCGAGTTGCTCCTAGGTGGTGCCTCTTTGCCCCTCCCCCCTCCGTTGCCGGCGTCAACGACGGCCGGCGACGAGGTAAGATTAGGGTTAGGGTTTTTCTTTTCGTTCCGTCGGATCGTTTGCTTTTCTTTGCTTTTCTCTTTGGATTTCTTTCCCGAACCAATCTAAACACTAGGGTTGCTCTGATACCATTGTTAGTGTTGTCTATTAGATCACCTAGGTTTAGATCTAGTCGGGTGGTTCTATTTGCGATGGATGATTGAACAACAATAGAGAATAAGGGAAAGGGTTTAGGGATGTGACCGGTTGACACGTTGGATGAAGAGGAAGTCCCGGCCATCGTCGTTGTCGTCGCTCTGCTTGACATGGGCGGCGGCGGTGATGGTGGTCGTGACAGCGACGGTGCTGCGCGGCAGTGGTGGTCGTAGGGGATCCCGGCGAGGTCGTGGCGCGGCGGTGGAGTCTTCCCGTCACTGGCTGCGCCCCCTCGATCGGTTAGGCCTCGTTCGGCACGTGGGGAGGGATTTCCCTGGGGGAAACACCACCAGTCCAGGATTGGGTGGATCCCCTCCCACCACCCAATCCACTTCCACGTTGGGTGTTAAACCCCCATGCTATTCGGATGGGGAAAACAGGGGAAAAGCAGGGAAAGCAGGGCAAACACATCTCTTTGAATAAAAACTGAGCATAGATAGCACATCTCAACTTACGAATAGAATCAAACTATAAAATCACACAAAATAATACGAAATTTCAAAAAAAAAAAAGAGCTGATAACTAATTTCTACAATGGCATGTACAGAAGAAAACCAAAATTAAGAAAATAGTTCATTAAATAAAGAAAATGAAAATACTGACAAGCTTTTAAACGATAGTTAACACTGCTATTCAATGTAGCAGTTGACATTCGCATGTGGTAAGTCAATCTGTGCCCTCCAAACAATATTACAAGCATATATAGTAGTTGCCAATGTACCCCACGCATTTAAATTCTAGTGATTAGCAAGTGACATTAACACCTAGAACACTGAGTACAACCACAAACTAGGTTCCCAGGTTCCAAAATCGATTTGTCCACAAATTTAAGAAATGAAGATGGTAACTGCATGCACTGTTGTCCTATCTTTGACACCATTTGATCTTCACCTAATAATATTAGCTCCATGACCTGAGAGGAGAAAATGATGAGCATTGTGACCCCAAGAAAAGATTAAAAAAAAGACACAGACACGGCAGCCAAAGAACAGCTGTTGCAGCATCCAGAAACAAGACTCTGATAAGTTTTTACAGGTGATCACAACAACAGAAAACTTCCAATGTAGAACAGCATCCAGAAAATGACAGCACATTAGGAGGAGAACAATGTTGGCCCACAGATAAGTTTATTTTACAAAGATATGACATAGCAGGACTATGGTAGCTTAATGCCGACAGTAAAGCATAAAAAAAAAGTATAGAGAAGTTGGACTGATGACAACAATGTCAAGCTCAACAGGACTACAGGAGAAATGAAAAAAGGCTGATCACTATCATCATGCTATTCATGTATATCAACATAAATGAAACTTTAGGCAGAACATACCTCACAAAAGCACCCAATCTCATGTAAATCAACCCTGCCAATACAAGAAAACCAGGTAAGTAGGGGATCAGAAATGTCAACCAAGTAAGACAGCATGCTAAGATGACACTAATGAAAATAAAATATCATAATCAGAAATGTTACTCACCATCTGAAGTTTCAGCCACAAAATTCTAGCGGTTGGATTAGCACTGATAAAGATTTCTCTGTTCTGAGCATCCTTAAAAACACTAAATGACCGGGCATTTTCCTCAGGGGATAGTTCATTCATTGTGCTCAAGACATCGATACATTTCTTGATTGAAAATTCATCAACTTGCTTTGTAGCCTCTTTTTCCCGTACCATTTCCTCCTCAGCTTGTTTATGTCACAGCTCTATGTATTTCTCCATTGCATCAGCCACATTCCCATTTTGCTTATGTCTTTTTGGGTTCTTCTCTCTTTTATCCTCAGGAGGTTTCCTTGATGTACTGACAGTTTGTCTTCTTTGATTTAACTGATTTGACACTTCAACTTTTGATTGTTCACTTGCTGTGATTGGATCATCATTGTTTAGGTCATCTTGATTGTTCTCCATCAGCAAATCATCAGCACCTACTTGTGTAACAATATCATCTTCTGTGTTTCTTGACTGATCTAGTGTATTTGTTGGCTGAAGGGATGTAAAGTTCAAGAGGCCCTCGGCAGTTTGACCTATTCAAGAAAAGAAATGCATGCCGATAACTAAGTGAAAAGTAGTTCGAATGGTTTATGGATAGATCTGAGAATTAGTAAATTACCATCATATAGTTCTCCTAAAGCTTCAAAGATTGGAAATGGTTTGTTGCGGAACTTCTTAGCTCGAGGGAAAGACTGTTAAGTTTTAGAGATGAAAAAGAAACTGAGTTAATTATGAGGCAAAAGGAGAATATAGAAAGTAAAGGAACATGACAGAACATAACAAGATATATATGAGGAGAGACAATTCAACAATTGCACGGAATTCAATAGTTCAAGAAACTTACATGAATAATATTATCCCAAACTGCAGGATCATCAGCAATAATCATCCCGAGTTTTTCGTCCCAAGATGCCCCACTTTGTGTTCTTGCATCTTTCAAGCACCTGTAGTCTCTCTTAAGCTCCTTTTCTTTATCTTGAATTTGTCCTTTTGAAAAACAAATGTGCGGGAACTTATCATGAAAACACACAAGTCATTTATTACATCACATTTCATTACATATCATGCTAGATTAGAATGATCATGAACATAATCATTCCACATCGCCATTGCAATATTGTCCCTAATAACATTTCCTTGATGAGTTTGATTATTCAGTGAGTTGACATCATTGCCATACTCATCACCTCCCGCTGGAACATCAACAAAATCTTCAGGTGATATATGGTGTGGATCATGTGGCTGATGATCAAGATCCAACCATCCCTCATTCCCATTGTACCTCCTAATCAGGTTGTGAAATACGGCAGCAGCTGCTGGTATCCTAACTTGGTTTTCAATAGGGTGTAGTGTGCCTACTTTTAAGATCGGGAAGCGCTTCTTCAAAACTCCAATAGCCCTTTCTATGTGATTACGCAATAATGCATGGCTTTGATTGAACAATTATTTGTAGTTTGATGGGCGCCGGTGACCACGACCAAACTCCTTAAGATGGTATCGAACGCCACGGTAAGGTGCGAGGAATGAAGGCGTGTTGGCATATCCACCATCAACAAGGTAAAACTTGCCCATCGGTATGCGAAAACCATTTAGTTGAGCAGACCTAAGCACCCGGGCATCCGTGGCAGATCCCTCCCAGCCACAAGAAATGAATGTGAAGTTTAAGTCAAAATCACATGCTAACATCACATTTTGGCTTAGTGTGCTCTTTCTATTCCTATATGGAGCTGCCATCTCAGGGTTTATAGTGATAGGAACATGAGTACCATCAATTGCTCCTAAGCAATTCTGCAAGAATAATATAAACACATAAGAAGATTTAATTTTAGAAATAAAATATTTTATTATACATGAATGCCAAGTTAGTATTGCACCTTGAAGTATGGGTAGAAGCGAGGATTTGATGTGATCTTTGAATGAGTTTGGTTTGCAAGAGGCGGCTTAATGAATCTATGGGTGAGAGTAGGGACTATATCGAAAAATGCCCTAATATGTAGGTGGATTGTCGCCCCACTATGCTTGAATTCATATTGCATATCTTGGTAGCTCGCATTATGGGATAGCATATACATGAACATAGCAAGCTTTTCCTCCACTCTAACTCCCCTAGTGTCACGGACCAAGTTCTTCCTTCTTAGAAATTCTGCAGTACTTTTGAAGACCTCCGGTTCCATACGGTACGCCACAAGGCAATTCATGACATGCCCTTCAAGTACCTCTGTCACTTTTTCTGCACCAGTCTGGGTTGATGCATGCCTAGGTGTTTTCTCTCTCCCCCACCACCACTATCCAAAAGATGCACAGCAGGGAAAAGGAAAAGAATCATATCATCATCCTCTTCCTCCCGCTTCCGACGTTTAGCCCTTGAATCCATTTTAATTCCAGGAACTGTTGACATGTGTGAGATGACTTCTAAGCACATAAAAGTGTGATATCAAGCAAACAAATGTTAACAAAAAAAAGAATCTTCTAAGCACCAAACTACAAAAAATTAACAGATAACAGAAGGTTGCAGTTAATGTCAAAGGTAGTAATGGCTATTCTGTACTTCTATAGATTAGATTACAAAGCATAAAAAAGATAAACAGCAGAGCATATCTTTGATAAACAACAGAGCTTTCTTCTATTTTACATTTGAAGGACTAATAGTGCAATTCCGTCGATTCAGAGAATGACTTAATTCCATGTGGTAATGTGAGTGTTAATTTCCATTCTGCAAGGCTAAATAAAGATTTTTCTCTAATTTCTATGTGTATATTGACCTGATTAACTATATATCCAGAGAATGAAAGAAAAATGCAGCATACTGTCAGTTACTACGTTGAAGTGTAACCTTCAACAGAAATATAATAAATGAACAGATGCATGTTCTTTCAGAAATCCATAGCAATGAACCACAAAAATATCTGTTCGGAAATAAAGGGACAAAACCTGATTACTCTCCTTTCAATATATCTTGATCAACATAAAAGGAAAGGAAGAAAATATTTTCCTTCGAATGAACATTATGTCAGACATCTAGAATTTGTTACTATCATCTCCCATAGTAAATTACCCATTTTAATTCCAGGAATTGACAAAGCAAGTTTGGGTGCTTCACAGGATCATGAAGAATTCTAATTAATACACAAACCGTATCAAGTTTGTTAGGGCAAAAATTAAGAGTATATCATGGATCAACAGAGATGCTCAAGCTTTATCCACACGAGCATCAGGAATTAATACACAGAGCCACAACTTATACAGAGCTGCACAGATTATGCCTAGAGATTTCACAAGTAAAATTAGCACAAGATTACCTAGCCCAAGATTAACTATCCGCAACATAATCGATCAGATCTAGCCCAAGATTTCACCTTCCCAACCACCAAACCAATCAATTCAGGAGAAGGATGGAATTTGGCATACCTAGACAAGCTGGTAGAAGATGACGACGAGGTCCTGGAGGTTCTTGTTGGGGACGAGGTCCTGGATGGTGGAGACCGAACGGAGAAGGCCACACCGTTGTTGAACTCCGGCAGATCTGACGAGAGGCGGCGTCGTTTCCGGCGAGAGGAGGAGGCCAAAGTGACGGCAGGCGCCGGCGCGAGTAGATGCGCGGCCCACCGCCGGCACGCGATGGGATGAGCAGCGGCGGCGCGGGCGTGGCCCACCGCGGCGCGCGTCTGGACGAGCAGCGGCGGCGCGGGCGCCGCTCCAGTCGAGAAGAGGCAGCGGTGTGGTGAGTTTCCACGGGTCAGGGTGGTGGACCAATATCCCTAGGGTTTGTGGGGTATTGGGCCGGGAAATCCACCTTCCCGGGCTAAGCCGAATGCATTTTTTGACAACTCAGGGATTCTATCCCCTCGTGGTGGGCTTCCCCGAAGGGGCCGGGGAAAAGGCTGGTATCCCGGCCTTTTACACCCGAACCGAACAAGGCCTTAGGGTTTTTGGGGTGGAGTGGCGGCGGCGACGAACCTTGTGTCATGTGCGTCCCGTCCTCCACCCCTCTTTATATGGCACAGTATGATGGGGGCCCATCAGCCATTGGGCTGGGCGCCCCCGATCAGGGCGCGAGTCAAGGCCCCCTTGAGCCGTTGGGCTCAAGGGAGGGAGATATATCTAACATGGGGGCGTCATCCCTATGTATGTATGAATTGCAATGCTGTCCATCATTATTTTATTTTATATACTCATATAGCTAGAGATTTTATAAGCAAATTTCTTATGTCTTTGATACTTGACATAATTTGTAACTTGAAACTTCCATCGTCACAAACTACTATGTGCACTGTTGTTTTTCTATGGTAAAACACTAAAACTTGAATTGTCTCAGCTCATCACCAGACAATTGGATGGAAGGAATAAACGGAAGCCAGTCTCTTGCTCTTCAGACTTACATTGGTGGAAATATTGAAGGGCTTCATCTTACATGATCTCACTGGTACGTAAACTTGAGTTCAGCAACTGCATAGACATCACCATTTGGTCTCATGAAGCTCACTAGTGAAGTCATATAGTATGGATTGGTATCTGTTTATCCAAGAACAATTCAAGTTATTATGGCTTTACCTATGTATTGTCTACAAAATTTTTGTTTAGTCTGTGATTAAAATAAACTGTACAATTTTCTCTTTTTACTTCCTGCCATGCCGTTTATTCTCTGAAAATATAGATGCCCTGTCTACTTAGAGCAAGTTTAATAAGAGAGCCGGTTGTTGTCTATAAAATTATCTACATCAAAGATAGGTGTATAACAACAGACTATTAGGTAGATTGCTATACACAAATTACAAAAATATACCATTCAATTTTTTTAATTTGGGTCCCCACCACATTAACTTGCCTTTTCTCTCACCCGTCAACCTTTTTTTCTCCCAACCAATCAGAAGGACATGCAATCCCACATATAAAGGCTTCCACAATGTGCCATAAGAATGAGCCATAGGCCTTTTAACTAACCATATATATTATGGGCACTAGCCATAAGACATTAAATACTAAAAATAGCCATAAGTTTTTTATGGCTCAACCTTAAAAAATAAAATGATGAGATAAAGCATACATGCACACTAAAGAGGATGAGGATGAGAATAGATTATGGTATGGTGGGACCTACTTTAAAGTAGAATTTGTTTACATAGATGTGTGAACCATCTTAACATATATTCTTGCCTTCAACATTGTGGCTATGGACATAGGGTATGGTGGGACCTATCTTATTTTCACCATGACCTTTAAGCATTGCTGTTGCATCGGCTGCATGTAGGTGCCACTGCCTTTTTTCTCGTGCTATCACCTGGCGGCTGCATGAGCGTCCGCTTTGCTCTCTCTCTCCTCTCTTCTCTTTCTTCCACCTAGATTTTGCTGAAGTGGACAATTCTACCCACTGCTAATTCAGCTTTTATTGTACCTGCTCTCATAGGTGACTCTGTTAGATTGCTTATGTGGCATATTACATCCCCATCAACATGTACATTTCAGTTCATTGGCTTCTTTTTTTAAAAAAAAAATTATAATCCTATGCTATTCCATAATGTTCCGCAGTAACGTCTGAGGTACCATCCAGTACGTATACATAAAAATAAGCCGGGAGTTGAAGAAATGGTCAGCTTAGCTCCTGGATTCTCTCATCTATTTATAGCTAACGAATACAGGGACTTAATTAAACAGCATTACAGGAGCTAGCAAACCAGAAAAGCTTTAAAACCTTTTTTTTTCTAAAAAAGGGGGGGGGGTGTGTGGGGAAATCTTGAAAACAGAATCAATCCCTTACGTTTCAATTTATCTCCTAGAAATCTATTGACTCAATGTAACCCTTGAACAAAACACCGTATGAGCATGCCACGTAATCCTCATATATAAGGACAAAAATAAATCCTTCTACCCTTACATATACCATATTACAGTAATAAGAACAAACAAAAATAATAATAACCCAGAAAGTCATGATAGAATGCCAGCCTGATTTTTTTTAAATATATATGGTTTTGTCTTTTCTTTCTTTTTATTTGTTATTATGATTATATATAATGATCATTATTATTGTTCTTACATGCGTGGATAACATGGCACGTTCATGTGGTATTTTTTGTCTCGCGCCGTACGTCCAACGCGTAGCGCTCTCCCATTTCCTGTGTCCCCTAGGATTATGTTGAGCCAAGTGTACCAGTAAAAACAATATTGAGTCAAAGTGGTAGATTTTAGACATAAACATATTAAAATATGTGAAACTAAACTGATCCTATATCTAAGGGACCGTAGCTATCCACCCAATCCCAAACTAGCTGTTGGGTTTAATTTCCTCGAAAATGACTGTAAAAAACCAACTTCTTTTAAGCCTACATAAAATCAGCCACTAAAACAATGGAGAATTAGGATCGAATCAATATTAGGTCTAGTAATTAACCAATGGATCATCAGAGCAGCGGCGGCGGCCATTGTTCCAACCCTCCCAGCTGCGGCTTCTGCGGCCGCGCCACCGTCGCCATCAGCTTCGCCGCCGTCCCCGCCGGCTTCTGCACCTGCAACGTCTGCCTCCGCGACCTCGCCGGCGTCCTCGGCTACCGCTGCCCGCTCTGCAACTTCACCGTCCACCGCCAAGGATGCCGCCGCCCCCACCACCACCACCCGCCGCCGGTGGCCTACACGCAGCACCAGCGGGCATCGTCCTACAACCAGGCGCCGGTGGCGGCGTCGTCGCCGCGCGCGAGCGGCAGCCGGAGGAAGCGGGTGAAGACGTTCGTCATCAGGCTCGTCGAGAAGGTCATCGGGCTGGAGAAGAACGGCCGCGGCGGCGGCGGCGGTGGGCGCAAGAAGAAAGGCAAAGGCAAAGGCGGCGGCGGCGAGGACGAAGAGGAGGAGGAGGAGGAAGAAGAGGAGGAGGGATATGACGATTAATCTGCTCGCGTAGGTAAACCTGCGGCGCCTCTGGATTAATTCTACTTAATTAATTGCTCCCGCCGTTTCATATTATAATACTTTCATTGTTCACATTCTACTGTTAATGAATCTAGACACATATAAATGTGCGCAATGCTAGAAAGTCTTATAATACGAAACGGAGGAAGTATTACTTTATCATCTCTAGATTAATTCTGCTTAATTAATTATTACTTCCTTAGTTTCTTTTCATGTACTCATTCCTTTTTTTAATATAAGATTTTTTTTATATTTTGATATACATTCGATCATATGACTTATTCAATTTTTATTTTTACAAATCAATAAAATTACAAGCCATGTTTAAAGAGGAGGAAGATGACGAATAATCTCACCCCTGCAGCCTCTCTGGATTAATTATGCTTAATTAAATATTGCTACCTCAGTTTCTTTTCATGTACTACCTCCTTTTTTAATATGCATTTTTTAATACACGATGTCATTGATATTTTGACATACATTTGATAATTTGACTTATTCAATTTTTATTTTTTACCGATCAATAAAGTTACAAGTCATGTAACATGTGATAAATCAAATTATAACAAAACAAATGATAATTACATATTTTTGAAAATAACACGTATGATCAAACGTATTTAAAAAATAGATGGCATTATATATTAAAGAACTAAGAGAGTATACTAACTAGCGTCATATATACGAATGAAAATTACGAAAATATTTATTTTTTCAATAATTTATGTTTATATACCTGTATAAGACGGACTCATAAAAATATACCCGTTCCGTTGGATAGAAACGTGGGACCATGATAGTCCCGCAGTTGTAAAACGCCGGACGTCGGTCCGCGGGATCGCGACGGTCAAAACGCGGGAGCGAGTCGGCCAGCGATTTATTTTACTGAGTCGGCACTGTTCAACACTGTTTCTGGTTCAACACTGTTTCGGGTACTGTTTGCACGGTAGCGGCCTGTTTAGGGGCCGGTTCCGCACGGTGAACCTGCGGTACCGCGCGTGTGAACGGTGCCAAATAGTTTCAAACAGTATCGAAACAGTGCTACACAGTGCTAAACCACGTTGAAAATCACAGGCTGCCTCGCTCCCGCATTTTGAACCTGCGGACCGTCGTGGCCCCACGACCATTCTGCGGGACCGATGATCCTGCGTTTTGGAGCTGCGGGATCATCGCAGTCCCGCGTTTCTATCGTGCGGGACATGTATATTTTTACGAATCCGTCCGATGTATGTATATAAATGTAAATTATTAAAAAAATAAGTATATTAACAAATTTTTTTCTTATATATACTACTATATTATTTTATTATTTTAGGATGAAGATAATGTATCCATACATCGATGATTATGCAGGAAAGTCACAACGCAAGTGCAAATTCCCATGCACTTTTATGTCATCAAATTTGCTTCAAGATTCGCCCATGTAAGGGTATGTACAATGCAAGCCACAAGCAACAGTGGTCTCAAGTTGCCACGTAGAATAGAACCACATAAAGGTCACACAACCCACAGTGGTAACCACTCCAAAACATATTTTGCATTTCAGCCCCTATCTATTTATATGTCAGCCCTTGTGTTGTATGATATTATCAAACCTATTAAGGCCCTGTTTCTTTCAGTTTGGGATTATTATAATCCAGATTATTGGGAGTAAGCTGAAAGATTCAGACAACTTATTGAAGTAGCTTATTATAATCTGGAGCCCAACTTATTATAATATGATAAGCTCATTTAGGTGAGCTTTTTCTAGATTATTGGGTAAAAAATTACCCACCATGCCACCCCACTCCCTCTTTAGACTTGCAAACCCAATAATCTAGGCTCTAATAATTTAGGAAAGAGACAACTAACCGCTTATTCTACTACAGATTATAACAATCTAGATTATAGTAATCTGACTCAATAATCTAGATTATAATAATCCCAAGCTGAAAGAAATGAGGCCTAAAATTTTATATTTTGAATCCCATAGCAACCAAAATAAGTACATATGCACCCCTAAATATCATAAGAACCCATTGTCAGCCTCTTCCAACCTATTTCTTTTTTACTCTCCCCCTTCTCTCTCCTGTCCCCCTTCTCATACGCCACCGACGTTGCTCCTCCGATCCCCTTCTCCACCTCCACTGACGCCTACTCCACCCCGCCGGCGAGATCCCTCCCCTCTCCGGCGCGAGCTCGCCAGCTTCTCCCCTCCCCTCTGCGGCGCGAGACGGCTTCTCCCTTCCCCTCTCCGCCGCGAGCTCCCCATCAGCGGCGCTCGAGCTCTGGCGGCGGTGGGGAGCAGCGGTAGCGGCGGCGGGGAGTGGCGGCGGCGGTGGATCTAGCGGTGGCATTGAGTAGCAGTGTCGGCGGATCTGGCGGCGGCGTTGAGCAGCGGTGGCGGCGGATGGCTCGACGCCGCCGTCCTCCTCCCCCCACGACGACGCGGACGAGCTCGCCGACGGCGTGGCGAGCTTGTCGGTGGCGGGCTCGCCGGATCTGGCGGCGGGGGCCACAACGGCGGTGGTTCCTCTCCTCCTCCCTTCTTCGCGACCGTCGGCGCCGGGGAGCAGTGGTGGCGGCGGATCTGGGGACCGGTCGAGGCGACGCACGGGTCTCCGGCTCTGCCAACGCGTGGCCTCGGACCGTGGCTTCGCCCTTCCCAAGCCCTGGCGCGGCGCTTTGGGCGGTTCTTCTGCAAGCGCGGGATCAGCCTGCAGTGCTACGGTCCCCACTGCCATGGGTGCGCGCGTCCGACGTGGAGGTTTGAGACCACAAGCTAGGGTCACGCGTTGTACATGGCATAATATACTCTCACCATCCCATAATATAAGGTGTGCACGTATTTCAAGATTTAATCTTTAAAATATTTGACCAACATTTAACGTAATATGAAATAAATTTTATTTGATAAAAATTATATCGTTAGATTGACATTTAAATTTACTTTCATATGATTATAATTTTGTTGTTACAAACCTTATAGCATATGAGAAATTATAAATTAAAGATTAGTTTTGGAGACCGTGTAATTTTTACCATACCTTATATTATGGGATTGAGGGAGTAGATTTTAATAAGACATAATAATGTTAGTAGTGTTCTTCTTTAGTATAACATGAATCTCAACAAAACATCAAATGGCTTAGGACGTAAGGTGCATATACATATTTGAGTCGTAAAAATCATCTTCCGATTATGATTACACGTATCTTGTATGTGTGTGTCTGTTTTTATGTGCTGTGCATGTACATGTTCATATGAGTTTATGAAGTTCAAATTAGATGTTTGATGAGATTCTATATAATTAATGGAGTAATTTATACAAGCTAGAGCGCGTGACTGAAACAAAAAAAAAACCCGTTGTTTTAAGTTCAGAGCAGTGTTTTAATAAATTCCACAATCAGCGATGGTAGAGCGAGCGACGCGGCTAATGTTGTTTCCAGATGATAAATCGATTTTTTTTTTCATACGTCGACGACAATTCGCAATGACGATGGCAGCGTCGGAGACCGAGCGGCCAATGTTGTTTCTAGATAGTCTATCGTTGGTGGGTGATTGGGAGAGAAACAGTGCGTTTTTTGAAAAAAAAATTATATAGGAAAGTTGTTTTAAAAAATTATATCAATCCATTTTTAAAATTTGAAATAGTTAACACTCAATTAATAATGCGCTAATTGGCTTATCTCGTTTTGTATATCATCTTCTTAATCTTTTTTTTCTCCCCTCTCAAACACTCCCTTTTTTTGAAACCTAAGGCGGAACTTTGTTCCACTTTTATATTTAGAAGAAGAGAATTGACCCAGTTTATAAGGAAAACTGGGCCCGAAAACCATACAACTGCACGGTTAATTACGGGAAACCGGCTAAAACCCACCACACAGAAGAAAGCAAGAGATCTAGCTACACAACTATCAACAACGGCGGAGTCCAAATGTAGAACATCATTGCCAAGCTAAAACACAAAAGCGGCCCAAACAGCTCCAACATCACAGAAGAGGTGTTATCGTTGCCGAGCTAGCCGCCAAAGCGACCCAGCAGCGCCGACTTCACAACCGCAGCGACACTGAATCCGCGAAAGTCGCCAGAGCGAAAAGCAGCTCCGACATCCAACAATGGACATCAGCCAAACCACCAAAGAGACACTTCCTTCACACGGCCAGCACCAACTCCTTGGAAGAGACTGCAACTTGTCATCGTTGCCAAGCATCGCCGCACCCCATCAGCGAGCAGCTTCGACTTCATCAGCAGAAGCAACCGAAGAGCATGTCGCCCACCACAAGAACGAAGCGGACCCAAGGAGGCGAAGGCCTCGCCAAACGTCAAGGTATGAAAGCTTTAGAACCGAAAAAGACCATCCATGGTCGTTGATGCATAGGAACTTCTCCGAAGCGACACCCCCAAGGAGGACACGACGCGTAACGTCGCCGCCGCTCGTCCGAAATCGGAACAAGGTTTTCACCCGGAGATTTGTGGGGAATATGAAAGAACGCCATGACGACGCCTCCAAGAAGGTTAATGGCGCCCAAGAGCGTCGTCGTCGTCGAACCGGCCAAAGGCACGGCAAGGCTTTCGCCAGCGTCTTCACATCACTCACACAAGCACCCCACGTCGACGACCATGGAATAGTCCGTGACGTCTCACGAGCAATCATACCTCGACGTGACCAAACACGTCAGCGCATCCACATCCACATATCGCGAGCAGGAGGCTCACCACCAGCGAGCAACCCTGCCGAAGCCCGTCTCGACTCTGCGCAGCCGCCGAGCTCGCCGGAGCCCTCCCGAGCCGTGCAACGCCGCCACACGCAACCGCCGCCCACGCCACGCCCGCTCCCGGTCTCCTTCCCTACCGCCCAACTCCTTCCCCGCCTTCATATGCTGCCGCTGGCGTCGACGCGCCGTCTGCTGCACGGTGCCACCGTCGCCAGCCATCACCACCACGGCCGTCAGCCGCCGTGGTCCACCGGTCGTCTCCACGCCACCGTCACCAGCCGCCACCATCACCGGCCGCCGCCAGCAGCCGCCGCCCATCCAGATCCGGCTGGGGTGGCGCGGGTCCGGGGGACGGAGCGCGCCACTCAGCGCTAGGCTGGAGCGAGACGACCATGACGGTGCGGCGGAGGTCCCTGCCGTGGCGGCCTGGACGCGCCGCGGTCCGCCGTCGACGTCGCCAGTCGCCGCGGTCCGCCGCCAACGTCGCTCAGTTGCCGTGGTCCGCCGCCTTCAGTCGCCACCGTCACCGTCAGTCCCCGCCGCCGACCACCCCCCCTTCAGATCCGGCCGGAAACGGCGTGGATCTGGCCGCCACCACTGCCGCCCCGGACTGCTCCCCCAGCCGCCGAGCGTGGGGAGGGCG